TGACGAATGTAAAACTCCGAGCACAGGCGGTCCTCACTCACTAAAACGCACAGACCCAAAGGTCTGTGAGTCAGCAGATAAGTGATATTTAATAACCTTTATCTATTTTTTTTTTTTTTGCTCCCCATATTGGAAGAGAAAATGTACGATGCTTGTGGACTACTGTGAGCTCAACGTGAGCTGTCTTCAGTTTGTGGCCTCAGCTAACAAGAATATCAAGGCACCTTCTTGACAAACACCACAGAGGGCACAAATTACATCAAAACGTATGAACAACACTGATTACGTTTCCATCATGACACCTGTTACTGAGTGGGATATACATTTTCCAATATTTGTTAAAACTGTCACCATGTTGAGACAGTATAGTATTAGACAGATATAGTTTGTGAAAAGACTGAGCTCCTCCACCTTCTCCCTGAGCCGCTGTTGCTGTCTGAAGAAAAGCACCGCTCCCGACCAAAAAAAAAACACCCAATCAGAGCTGGGAGGAAGGTCTCAGCGCAGCCAATCAGTGCTGCTCAGAGTGCTAATGACGGAGAAGCAACTCAACGTTCCAGAAAATCAGTTTCTCCGCAGTCATATAACAATATTCTAGGGAATATTGTGTCCCCGGCCTCAATATTCATGGTAGTGGTGAACTAGCTGTAGCGTAGCAGAGAGCAAGAGGAGGGTTTGTGTGTATGAGAGTGATTGACAGCGCTAAGACCCTCCTCCTGGCTCGGATTGGTTATTTCTGGCTGAGTGGTGCATTTCTGCACCGACTTATAATTTTCCGTCTTATTAATTTCAACAAATACTGCTGAACACTTTGGAAACATTGTGTTTCCAACATTTAGAAGCAGGACAAATGAACCCAAGGTAAGGTTTTAGGCAAGTTTGACAAAGGCTGAATTTTGATGACTGGATGATTGGGTCAAAAGTGATACACTGCAACTTGGGTGTGTTGCAGTGAACAGGGAGAGGCTAAGTGATGCACAAGAGGAACAAAGGCTTGTCCACTTGATCCAGTTCAAGGTGCTAGACCTCAAAAGTTGTGGTAATGCATCAGAATGAGCAGCACAGTGCAGCTAGCCGGGTATAACCGCAGACCCAGTCAGGAAGCTCATGCTAGTCATAATGTTATGCCTGATCACCGTACGCCTTGGCACAGTTTAAGAACATGCTGTGTTTTAATAAAAATTAGATACAGAAATATTAAATAAATCTGAACATTTTTGAAAAACGCAAATGCTTCAGTAACTGACTTTATGAAGCGAGTTGATAAAGTGAGTTATAATAAGAACATGGCATATAATTTAAATTAAAATATTACATCAGACCAATAACTTCAAAGCACTTTGAATTGCCTTGTTGCTGAAAATGTGCCATATAAGTAAAATTACCTTACCTTAATATATATATATATATATAGAAAAAAAAACTAAAACAGAAATGAGGGCTTAAAAAGGTATATGTAGCACCTGCTTAGCGGTTGCTAAGACACTTTCAATCTGTAACACAAGCCTCATTGGAACACAGAGTGTGTCCTAATTCATTGAAAATGGCTGCACACATTGGCTGTCGAATGCACAACAAATGATTTGGACAGTGTCGCAGGTTCCCTCCCTACTAACAATAAAATTCAGCTCATTAGCTCCTCGTTTGCGATGCCCAGGCACGTTGGCTGCAGGTCTGGCCTATTTTGGAATAAGTACGGAAATCCGTTCTGTAAATTCAAGCACATCTCTTGCGAGCTCTTTCACAGTCAGATCGAGCAGATTCTGAGACTGTGTAACAAGGAAGGTAGCGATTTTGAAAGGCTTTCATTGCCTCCGAAGAACTGCATGATCAGAGGGACAATTAAGCGTCTCATAAGTATCCAGCTTTTTACGGCATGAAGCTGTGGTTATGGCACGTTGTGCTTTAGTGGCAGCAATAGATGAATATAGAGAGTCCACAATCGGCACAAAGGAATGTCTGCATCAAGATGACAGTGAAGGTTTTTCTAAGAAAGGTGGCTGCATTTGGAATTAGGTTTCCTCTGTGTTCTGATATTCTGAGAGGCAGTGATGGGGGTGCAGCTCGTTTCGTTTGGCCCTTCAGCATTTAGGACGTCTGTAGATTTGATTTTCATATCTGACTTCTTTAGGTGCAAACAGGAGGTGCCTGCTGTCTGAACTTTTGTACAAACCAAGCTTAAATTCATACCTACATTGAGGACATTTCATACTGACTTTAACATCTAATGACTTAAAGCAATTTCCTATAATTTGCTCATGTTCTACTGTCAGGAAGTGTGACTTGTGGGACTCCAATAAATACCATCTACCGATAGGCAGGTTTCTTCCAGCGATCTTTATCTCTCATGTAACGTCTGAGTTAACTGGAGCCAGTAAGTATTTGAAGATAAACCAACGAACATAACATATCCCAAAAAATAATATTTGATTAAACTGAATTATATGTCAGATTTTACGCATTTTTAGTACAATTTTACAACACAATTCACCAAAATGCTAACAAACATAAACTAAGATGAATGGCTTAAGTACATAATTGTTAGTGTCAAGGCACGAAATGAAAGTGAGAAAGGACAAAGGGGTTGGGTTGACCAAGTGGCCAGTGGGAGACGAACCCCGAGACGTTTATTACATTCCTTGACCTACACATGAGCAGCTTCTGCTGTGGGCTGGTCACACTGTCCTGCTGAAGAAGCTTTTCTATGCCAGTGCATGTGTGTTACAAACCAGTGTTTAAGTTACAGGGAATCCTCAAATCGAGGCTTCGGGGGAAGGCGTCCAGCAGCTTTCAGCTGTGTCCCTGATCCAACACACCTGAATCAAATGGCTGAATTATCTCCTCAGTATGCAGCCAGGTTGTCCAGAATCGTGTTAATGACCTGATTGTTTGACTTGGGTGTGCTGAAGCGGAGAGACGTCTAAAAGTCGCAGAACACAAGAGTTGATGTATTACCACTGATGTATTACCAAATGGTTGCTGAGTGTCGTTGAGGATTTGCACAGATGTTTCGTTCGCATGTGTTTGTTCTGGAAAAACCCACCTGAGGTAGTGTGTTCTTTTTTTTTTTTTTTTTTTTCCAAATTTGCAAAGCAGCAGCAAAACATAAAACACAACTTGAGGCTCATACCCAGGTATTTTGTTTCAAACGTATATGATTTTCCTGCAGCTGAATGCAGCCCTTCAACACCGAGGTGGACTATTAGCAAGGGAAGCTAGAAACAATGCCACTGCTCCTTCGGGGTGAAAAATCCTTTTGCTAAAACTCTGCTTGCCTCTGTTTTTAATTAGATTCTGATATCAGCCCGTTCTCCTATCCTCCCCTTCCCTCTTCAACATGCGTGAAATTGAACGGTATTATCTATTATTTATTCACCCTCTTTTGCTTATTGTTTCCCGTGGATGCCTTCGTTAAGCCACTTGCTGCTCTGCTGCCTGCGATATGATGCTCTGCTTCGGCTGCCTCACTGTTTTCAGGCCCACCTCCTCTGCAGGTCTGAGTCCGACTCATTTGCTGGCGATGGTTGGGGAGCTATGGATTTTTTTTTTTCCCCTTTCACCCAATGACAGCACGGTGAGGTGCTATGAGGGCTGAGTGCTAATGAGCTGACTCTGCAATGCCGGGGAAGACGCTCTCCAACAAAGATGGAGGGGGGGGGGGGGGGGATCATAGGACAGAGCAGTAGGCGATGCTCCAGCAGACAGAGGAAGTCAAGGGGCCATTATGATCATGCCATGCAGTCAGTCGCATGAAGCTGTGGGCCAACAAAGTTAGCTGTTTCACCAAATGGAGGTCCTTGTTTATGATTAACAGCAAGGAAACTGTTGCGCTCATCTCTTGTTTTATGTATCTGCTGTACTCAAAGAGATATTGAAAGCTACACAAAAACGTTTTTTTTTTTTTTTTTTCCCTTATCAGCTTTTACGGTATGATCATAAACATGCAACAAGGAAAAAAAAAAAAAAAAAAAAAAAAAAAAAATTTCCCAAAAAGTAAGTTCAAGTTTTCTTATTGCCAATTAAATATGTGATACAATTATTGACATTAAACAGTTTTAAAGAGAGTTTTTTTGTTGTTGTTTTTGCAGATCAGATGACTTTTGCAAGAGGACGACATGTGTGAGGGAGGTACTGTCTTGTTTTAAAGGGGCAACATGACTAATCATACAGGGCGTCATGAATCAGGGGCGGCAGGGGAGCTTAAAAAAAATGAATCTGTTAAAGTTGAGACTCCAATTTGGTGGTAAACTAAAGAGCTTTTATACTGTTTTTGAATGAATCTGATCAAGATTTGTGCAAAAATATTGGTCAAACTGCTTAGACAACACCGAACGGCGATTCTTTAAAACCCAGATTTTTTTTTTGAGATTGTGCTGTTTGTAAAGACACAAAAACACCATTTCCATATTTGGGGAGGCATTAATGTAACCTCAAATTAAGACAAGCACAAAAACAAACAAACAAACATGTTGGTAAATAAAAAAAAAAACTTGAACTGGATTTGCACTGATTCTACTGATTGCACAGTTGGGATTCGTGAAACATGTTTGTGGAAAAACGAATAAAAGATTGTTACTTTTTTTTTTTTTTTTTTTTTACTTTCCTCTGAACCCAATGTTGCGTATTGCACGTTGAAACTTGAAGGAGGGGCTCGTTCATGCAGGTACTGCCACTGTAACTGAGTGATGTAATATTACAACATGGAATAAGTGTGCAAAATTATGTGACGTATGCTTTGAATATGCTGTGTTTTATAACAACAAACGCAGTCTAAAAATAGATTTTCATGGTGAGAAAATAACGTGTTTGCACGGGGTTGTTATTTCCACTGAGACCTTCTGAATCCAAGAAGAAGAAGAGGCGACAGAAACTTGTCTGCATGCCTGAAACTCGGCTGCAATCTCCATAGAGCACCTGGGTAATTCTTGCTCGTTCTTGGCGGACACCAGGAGTGCACCGGCCGCTCTGGACGTGAACCGACAAGGAAGCGGCACACTTACATGCATGGGTGACCGAGAAGCTGTTGGACGACTCGAGATTGTCGACGTTGTAGTTGAGGTGGAAAGGTTTCTCGGTGGTGTTTTGATTGGTGTTGTAGAGTTGGACAGCAAACCTGAACGCGCTGTGCTCCTGCACCGTGGATCGCATGAACAGTCCCCCTTTGGAGAGATTCAAAACCAAGATCAGACCAACTCTTAACGGCGGTGTGCACAGTTTCATCACCAGCTTTCACCCTCGTCCTTTGCTCGAAATCGCGAGGAACTCGGCGTGAACAAAGAAACTATTTGTTATTTACAGATTGACTCATGCATTACTGATCGGTGCGCCGGGTCTGGAACTCTTCGGAATAGAGAGACGACAAAAAAATAAAATACAAAATAAAAATGTTGCCCGTCATCATCTGTAACCATTTCTGGTAGTTTTCGGCAAGAAGCCGAAGCTTTATTGTAGTTTTAAAACCAGCTGCTTTAAGAATGCAGCACTGGGGAAAATCAAGTTAGTCCGGCGTCATTGCGGAGAGCTCCGCATTCAGTTCCCAGTAGAAAACTGCAACCATGCATTATATTACGCAAACAACAATCAGCAGCTCGCCGAAACGAGCGGGACACTTACCGATGTTAATCTGATTCGGAAATCCGGCTAAGGACTGGTCAAAGAGCCACAGCAAAAAGAGAACCACGCGTTGTGCCATTTTCTCTCCGACCTGATCTTTTCAACTCCTCAAAAGGCTCTGTCTAAGCAGATTCATATGTTCGGGGTGGATGCCGGGAGTAAATGGAAATCCAGTGGGTAGATGATGGTGGCTCACAGTGCACCAATTCATTCATTGAGGTGCAGCCCAGCTGCAGAACATTTTTTCCTTTTTTTTTTTTTTTTTTTTTTTTTTTTTT